GCAGTGTAATCTAGCTACTATTTATTTCATTGGTAGCGGGCTTCTCGGTCTGCGCAGTACTTGCCTGGGGCCGAGTATTTGTATCGCTGATGAGCTTTGCTGTGTTCCGAATTTAAGGTTAGGGAGAGCCAACGCTATCACAGGAGTTTTAAGATCTTACGTCTCACGTCTGCCAATGCATTTGTGATATTAAGTTTTTGAAGATAAGAACTTCCTTAGTATTGCAAAAGTCTGTAGATGGTGTTTACCACTTCCCATCAAGTGGACTATCACATATCTCTGTGTAAAACTGGCCACCTAATTTATAAGGAACAGTGTCAAACGCTTACCCATGTGCTAAACTTAGTTTATTGTTGCAGAAAATTCAAGAGGCGGCGAATTCTTACGCCGACGTTTCTGGCAAGCTTGTGTACATGATTGGTAGAAGAAATCGTAAATTGAATCCTGATAAGGAGAATGAGGTTAGGGTAATTTTCTATGAAACTTTGATTTTTGTCAAAAGATAACTTCAGACACAATATTTTCGTTAAAAGAGTTTAAACCATATATAAATCATTTCAAATTTGAGTTTGTATCAGATCATAGATTTAGCAAGAGATGTAGGCGACATGACAACTCTCCTTCTGGTGAAAGCAACAGAGTTAACAGCTGTGGCCGACGACGACCCTCAGTCGAACAAAGTAGACGATGCTGGAGTGGCCTGCGCTGATGCTGCTAGGGATCTGCTCGTTTGTGCTCAAGTGAGTAGTGATATTGATGAAATCTATAGATGAAAATCTTTGTCATGAAAGTTATCACAGGCCAAGTCCTTCGAAAGGGAACCTACAGAAGGATATAGTTTAACTGTCATGAACAAATATTTTCTCGTTATTGTCATAAACACTTGCAGACTTTACGTGGGGCAAATTGGCACAATACGATTTTCTTCAATAATTTTTGATATACGCCTATTTTATATATATTTTGGTAATGTTATGTACAAAAATAATAACACATAATACATACAAAATATACATGCAAACAAATATTACATACTTAATACATTTTCACTTTATTGTGCATAGTTATCAGCTCCAACGATCTACGAACCCCACTGCCAAACCGCAATAACAGCTTCAGCAGAAATCCTCGCATCTTCAGCTCAACATCTCACTACGACATGGAAACCGTTAGTAGAAGATCCTGCCAGGCATCAGATTGGAGAAGAACTGTCAAAAGGCACCCTAGACTTAACTAAAGCTTTGGAACGACTGAAGGCTGCTTATGCCAACTTAGGTAAGTCCGAATATTTCATCATTAGCTAAAAACCAGTATCACTTGAAAACTGTGGTAGTAAGATGCATAACACTGTTAAGAGTCAATATGTCATACTGATCACGAGATGGAAGACGCAGTGTAAATCCTAGGCCAGTTCGATGGACCGAAGATTTGGCGAAGACAGCAGAGCAAGGATGAAAGTGACTCAAGACCATGCATCACATTCTATTGGGAAGCCAAAGCTTAAATGTGGTGAACTACCAACTGATGCATCATCAACTGAAGAGCGTTAAGGAACCGTGAGAACCGTTCCCTCTACATAAGGGTAGTGCTGTGAAACTATACATACGGCATTTTGCTTTGGGGTAATGCCGCCGATATCAATAGAATCTTTGTCCTGCAGAAACGTGCAGTTAGGGCAATTTACAATCTGGGTCCCAAAGTATCTTTGAGAGATAAGTTTAAGGAAATTAAAATTCTTACACTAGCCTCACAGTACATTTATGAAAATGTAATTTATGTTAAAAGGAATAGTAATTTAGAAAAATAGTGACAGACGTAACATTAATACGAGGAATAAAAATAAACTAGCTTTTCTTGATAGTCGTCTTCACAAAGTCAAAAAATCATTTAAGAGGCAATGTATACGCTTCTATAACAAGATTCCGGTTAAAATACAAAATTTTTTCACGAGGCTTAAAACTGTAGTGAAACAAAAACTTTATACTAAAGGTTATTATACAACTTCTGCGTACTTGGATGACAAAAATCCGAGGTATTAACCCGTTTAGCTCATGGAGGTAGTCTCGATCTCTGATGTTTCAAATAAAAAAAAAAAATATATTGTAAATGTTGAATGTGTACAAATGTTATTTACAAAGAGCAACCCCTAGAGTTTCTTGCTCATTCTACTCAGGGGTATCTGCCTAACGAGCGGTAGAGTTTAACCATTGTGACGATTTCAAGTGTAATAATGCTTACCTATGAAATAAAGATTATTTTGAATTTGAATTTGAATTTATAATATTCTATTTTTGTAGGGGATGACGACGTCTTTATGCAAGAACCTGAAGACAACCCTGCGCAACTCCAAAGACTACGCTTCATTACTAGCGTAAATACTACAAAGAATGCCATGAAAGATGCACAGGAGGAACTTAATAAGGTAGTATTCATAAAAAAAACTAAAACCTGGTATGCCTTTTTTTAAAGGTGGTAGTAACTTTTACAATTTTTACAGATCTTGAAACCGTAGTAATGATGCGGATATTGTTAGCAGGTTATTTCTTTGAAACTGTATAACGTGTTCATAATATAGATTTTTGAAGAGTTCTTTCTGAATCGGAGTGGAATTAAGGCGGAAATGAACAGTAATCATATGTATTCCCATTTGCTTACAGCCAACACCGCTAGCAAAACTAACGGACCAGCAAGCCGATGAACTACAGAACAAAGTGTCCCAAAAGATGGGCCAGATCAATGCGGCTGTTGCTTCCCTTTTGCAAGCTAAGTCAGGTAAATAATTCTAAATGTGGTAACTTTGATGTTTCTGTGACGAAATTTCTCTTATCCTTAGTGGCTGCAAAATGCTGTTAGAGCTGTCCCGCACTCTGTGCATCAGGGATGCTGTCTTTATCCAGAGGATGGCAACAAAACCATCCGTCTCATATTGTGAAAACTTCCCCGATGCGCTGCCGAAACAGGCAGTCCCATAATCCTAAAAATATTATTATATTGTACAAATAAAAGTCGTACTTATTTCAGATCCTAACAACCCGGATTACAACACAGCTGAATTGGCCATGACCACCATTTCGGAATTGATGCCTGAAGTTATTAAAGGTGAGATGAAGTCAATCATAATATAGTTAAACGTGAAACAGAAATGTGGACCTCAATACAATACATGTGTTCGTATCGTAATTAGACCATAGACCAATAAGTGAAGAGGACTGCTAATCTCCATACTACCCGCTCACGCGATACATGCAGCCGTAGACGCATACCACACCTAGAGGTGCCGGTGATGATTTTATACCGATTTATCGGATATCGAAGTTATCTGTATAACAGGTAAAAGAACTAATATTAATGCTATTTCGGTAACTACTCTAGCAAACCATAAATTGTTTAATGCCTGGGTCTGTCATTTAAAAAAAATAAACAACTTCAAAAATACGTCGTGACAATCGTGTGTGTTATTGTTTGGGCTGGTGATTTTGGTGTTTATTTATTGAAAACATACCGTAAGTAGCGTTTTTTAAGTTTACCCTGAATATAAATGTTTATAAACTATACTTTAAGGAGTAATTTCATGGTAAACGTTAGAACCACTCAAACGGAATATTATCATATTTATCCAAGTACACCAAAAATGTCATTAGTGCTTTTTAAGTGCAGGATTGGCGGTGTATTACTGCATTTTATTTGAGATGTTTTTGTGGTTAGTACGGAGGGTATTTCTTCAGTCAGTTTTTTCCTTGCAATATTATTAAAATTAACATAGCTCTGTCATATGTATATATTATCATCCTTTATATGTATATATATATTATTTATATTTATATATATATTTTAATTAATTTATTTTTTTTACTCACATTTAAATTTTAATTTTATTGTACAATAATTAGTCCCGCAGACTTCATTTTTCACCTAGGCTAGGGTTGGCTGGAAGAGATCTCTTCTAGAGATAAGCTCACCTTTGTATATGTCCTTTATAACTTGTGTTTCATGTATATTTTCTTTGTGCAATAAAGAGTTATTATTAAAATATTGATCATGGGATAAAATTATTTTGTGAACTTTAACAAATATGTTTGTCAATAGATGGCATTGTGTGTTACAAACTTATTTATAAATTAATGCTTAGTACTAATATAGGTAGACGAGCCCTATACCCCGCCTACGGTGGGGTCAGACTCGGCCTGCGGCGCGTGATCGGTTTCAGATTGCGGGGGATAAGCACACTTATACTCTTCGGTGGCACAGTGATTTTAACTATGGGCGTTTGATGAGGAGGTTCCAGATTCGATCCCTGATTTGAGTAAAAAAAAATTTTTTTAACTGGTTCTGGTCAAGGAATTCTGGGTATTGCCCTCAGAATTATCGTTACTCTGGTACTCATAGTACAGGAAATTCCCTAGTCTGAGATCAGAAATTTGGAGTGATTGTCTGGCATTCCCTGAATACTTCTGTTTTTGGCATATCTTCCAAGAAAAAAGAATCTAACAGAGAGACGGTTGAGATACCACAACGTTATAAATATCTTATTTTCACTACATAGGGAAGTATGCCTTATATTTTGAACAATTGCGAAATCTTGTACTCGTAATAGAGTCTCCGTATATTATTTAAGTCAGGTGGCATGCGGACGCTTCGGGCTTGCCTTCCGCTAGACCTCGGCCTACGGCCTCGGCACTTATGACTTTCAAAAATTAACATAGCTCTTTAAGGGCAGCCATATTGACAAATGGCAAAAAATAAATTTTGACTGCAAATTATTGTTAAACACCCATAGAGACATCCACATGCCGATTTTCAATCGAATTAGAGCAAATTTTCATCTGCAGCCAAAAAACACTTCTATGGCATATTGAAAAATGGCGATAAACTAATGATGATCACAAATTACTATCAAGCACTCCTAAAGACTCCCACATGCCAATTTTCAAAGAAATCAGAACAATTTTTTGAAAATGGCGAAAAACCAATTTCGTGCACTAATTATTATCTGGCATGGCCTAGAGGCCTAGAGGTATAGAGAGATACGCCAATTTTTAGCTGAAACAGAGCGAGTCTCTTTCAGCAGCTATATTTTTAACGAAAAAAACACTTTTGTGACTGCCATATAAAAAAATGGCGAAAAAAACTTTTGACCCCAAATTATGATCAAGGACTCCTAAAGACCCCGCAGGCCATTTTCAGCCGCATCGAAGCAAGTTTTTCTTCGGCCGCCATTTTGAATTGGCCATCTTGATTTTTTTTACAGAGGCAGTTGACCACTATTACCCTCTATGACATTCCTCCCAGCACCTCCTACCTATCTCTAATAGTTTCCGTGATAGAAGGCTTCGAAATTTGTATGGCGGCCATATTTGAATTTCGAACATTTTTTACTTTCTGCGGAAATTGACCAAGGTGTATCTCATAAAAGTGCACAAAAATCCCCCCCGATGTATAGTTTTTGCAGGCCGTTGATCACTCGTTTACATCTTCCACATTCTGGTCTTCTCATATTTGATTCTTTGCCTTGGAGCCTATCCGAGTACAACGGTATAAATATCTGTTTTCCACCATATCGGAAAGTATGCGTTCTATTTTTCTAAGTGAGTCAGGATTTGTAGCTTTATATATATAATGGCGCTAATACTAAACAAATGAAATAATAGCCTGCACTAACCGTATCTGTGCAATAAGCGCCATCTAGTTAATTTGTTTGTTATCGCTAAATTATGGTAGCTTTGATAAATGCACTTTGATTCGCATCATCTTGTCAATGTAAAACAAATTAGTTAGAAAATACGCCGCGACATCTGGTGAACCTATAGGTACTAAATATCCGATTACGCTGTCTTGTACCGCTATTAATAGTCCTCTTGGCTCAATGGTCCATGATTGGACTGAGGATGTTTAACAAAGTTTTACAAAGGTCAGGCTTAAACTATCAAAATTAAACGGACTAAAAAGAGCGCCTTTGTGATTATGGTTTATGAAATTATAATTCAGAAGTAGAAAAATGTTTTTCATTCGTACTTCATAGTTAGCGTCTGACGCGTGTCAACTATTGGTCTCGAAAGACCTATCTGAGCTCAGTCCGCCATTTTGACTTTGTATGGTATTGTCATTCTTTCGTGCAAATTCTCTAAAATCCTAGAAAAATGCCTTACTGTTTTGAAGTACAAAAATGATAGCTGCACCAAAGATATTACCCGTGGTGGTATTTCACATCATCGGAAAGTATTACTTTAATAAATCTTAAATTTTCTGTTTATCGAAAAATTTTTTTTTGTTACAAGAAACGAAAGTAAAGCTTATACCCCTGCAATATAATCGCTTCTTGTTTGGAGAACTAAATTAATAACCCCAATTCGTCGTCGTTCAGCAACAAACCGCTAGATGGCAGCACATTGATTGAAATTTCAATATAATAACAAAACGTAACTAGTATTGATGTTGATGATGATATAGGTATTGATGGTATTGAACTTTCAACGATATGCCAACAGGGTAAAGATTAAATTACATTAGCAATTCGGAATTTGTTATTTCTTTTTAAATTTGAAACTACGACCAATCAACATCAATATTATGTATTGTTTCAAATGAAGAATGCGTGAGTTTTGGCGACATTGGTTCTGATAGTAATCGAGGTTCTCCACTTTTGCTACGGCGTTCCTTCTCGTGAGTGGTCTACCAGGCGGTAATGAAGGTTGTATGTGCTTCAGACATAAACAAGCTGTGCGGCTCGTGCAGCGGCGATCGCATGCGCCAGGCCATGCTGAACGACGTGCGTTCGTGGTGCGACGGCATCAGCGACGTCTGCGACTGCGCAGCGGCAGACGATCAGCAGGTATTCATGCATCTCGTCACGGCAGACGGTCATAGGAATGGTGCCATTGCGTATTTATGAAACACGTGTGCACTCGTACCTATATAATTTGGTTTTGAATGAACTTGTTCTGTATAAAAAAATTAGAGAATGCAAGTAATGCATGAAATGTTCTTTTCTCAAACGTGATTGGAAATGTTTGCATTACTTTTAAAAAACGAACACGGATAGTTTGTTATGGACCATGCGACTTCTTCCCGGCCAAAGCTTGCAAAGTACGTATGAAAATCGTTGACCTACGAAAATACATTACTGTCAACTTCTCTAAACTTTTAAATCTACCTGCTAATCCTCGGGTTTTACCTAAAAGAGTTGTGCATATGACGTGCAGGTTTCATCAGAATCTTTCTGTACACCGTTTATTGACTTACAATGGACGACGGGTCTAATACAAAAACCTCGAAAAAAATGTCCCAAGTCAACCTATTTAAACGTAGTGACATGTAAAGGAATATGAAAAAGCTAAAACGTTGAATTTAAATTGTAATGTCATCGCAGTCTAATTTTGCTTGCTTCGCTGTCAGTCGAACAAACGAAGACTAAAGCGTGAATGACGCTCTGTATACGATTTTAACGCCCTATAAGTTCGGACACTTTTTAGCGCGGACCCGACGTCCATATAATTGTAAGTCAATGACACCGTCAGCAAGAGCAATTGCTGTTTGTTCACAAATTGAACAATAAGTGACAGTTGTAGCAAAATCTGGATATTGTCTCCAGGCACTCGACGAGGCTGCAAAACGGTTTGCGAAGGCATCAAGAAAACTTTCGTTTGTATTCAGCCCACTGGCTAACAAAGCGAGGGAACAACTTGTGAGTAATTTATTGAAGAGATTTTTTTCAATTTGTCATCATTTTTAATAATGTGGCTGTTGGCAACATTAATATTTTATTATAAATTTCGTAAGTTTAAGTGGGCAACTCTAACCCTCTTTCTTCTTTGTACTGACCTTAATGGCGCAATTATGCATTTTTTTTATGTCAAGTGACGGAATGAACAAGTCATGCGTCTGATGGTAAGCTACACGCCTGTTCATAACAGTTGCAGTGTCACTCAGAGCTTTAAATCGCAAATATCTGAGCGCCCGTCACTCTGAGATACGTTGACAAGTCCTATGTGCCTGTAATTTTACCAGGACCTTTTTTACCCTTCAAAGCCGAACACAGTAATGTTGACATTACTACTGAAATAGAAAAACAAACAGATTAGGTGGCAGTACTTTGCTGGACGAACTCTTTCACAAGGGGCTCTACTGCATTAATATAAATTAAACATTGAGTATTTTCTCTTCAAAACATACGAAAACCACGAAAATCAAGAAGCCCTTTATCGCGGATGCCATGGTCACTCACATAAATAACTATAGTCCACAAATTACACCCAAATTCACGAGAGAAATAAATGTAGGCCATAGGAATATTTCTCACGGTCCGGGAATCGAAACCTTTCTGCTACGGAGGTAGTTAATTTACGCCTGCAGCTATTAACTCACAAATTAGAAAGGATAGTGGGAATCAGCCTGTTGAGATCTGGGGAATGGTGCCTTCCCAGCTGCTGGAGCTGTTCACGTCGGCGCACAACCAGGCGCTGAAGCTGGCGGACGACTCTTGCAAGATGGCGGACGCGCTGGGCGGCGCGGGCGGGGCGCGGCTGCGCGAGCGCAGCGGGCTCGTGGCCGACAACGCGCGCGTGCTGCGCACGGCCGTGGAGGTACGCTTCCGCCAGCCTTCTCCGTTAACTAGCCAAGTGTTCATTGCACTTAATTCTGATTACTTGATTCCGTTGTGCTCGTCTGTGGGGTCGGTACTTACTTTTATGTAGATACACATCATAAACCGGCATAAAGATAAACTCTTTTGTTAGAACAAATTTCTTATCTGTGAAAATGTTGTTATTGCTTCATAATAACATCAAATTCGATTTTATTATTATATTCAATTTTCGAACATCTCTGAAAAACAAAACAATTTGATTCGACCTCAATTCTAATATCAGTCGACATGAAGTTTTATTCGAAACAAATTGTCAATAGCAAACATTGACTTACAAATAAATGGACGACGGGTCTAATACAAAAACCACGAAAAAATGTCCCAAGTCAATCTATTTAAACGTAGTAACATGTAAAGGAATATGAAAAAGCTAAAACGTTGAATTGAAATTGTAATGTCATCGCAGTACTGTCTAATTTTGCTTGCTTCGCTGTCAGTCGAACAAACGAAGACTAAAGCGTGAATGACGCTCTGTATACGATTTTAACGCCCTATAAGTTCGGAGACTTTTTAGCGCGGACCCGACGTCCATTTAATTGTAAGTCAATGATAGCAAACGATATGATAGTTGGGACTGACTCTAGTTTGTCTATGAATTAAATAAAAACTATGGTTGTGTGACATGCGTGAGTAAAGTTTTTATTTGCCGCCATTTCGACACTCGTAACATGCGGTGCCTGAACACATCATAGAGAGCTTATAATATGTGTATGGATAAAGCAGTGTATTTAACTGTACCTACATAATTAGGCATTAAAACACTCGTATGACGATTTTATGAAACCCACACTCTTGCTTTAATGCCTTTCATTATGTAACAGTCACATAAAGTACTATAGATTCATAGTCATTTTTAAGCCGTAGATTTTTGTATAACCGTATTTTATATGAACAAATATATGGTACTTCTGAAATAGTTTGCGAATTGTAACTTTTCGTGTGGAAATATATTGAATACATATGTAAAAAAAATTTAAATACAAATTAGACTATAGTTTGTCTTTTTTGAAGACGGAGTAAAATGACATTTGCAGGGTTGCCAGTTTTCATAAAATTTTAAATAGTCATGTAGCTGTTGTCGACAGTTTTATCGATAGATTGTGAAAGAAGGTAACATTTTGCCAAAAATGTCTCAATTGTGAATGTTATTACGTTCTAATGACGACTTATTGCGTTATAAATGTCGTTATGAGACTGCTAGAGACATGTCTTATTGATATGTTATATAATAGCTCACGCTGAAGCGAATGGTGCAATAAAAACAGAAGGGCTATAACTCGTCTTATTCCGTTTTTCACTGGAGGCACTGATTTATCGACTGCAACTACTAGTTACTTGCAAGTCGGCAACACTTTTACGCAATGAACTGTCATTTTACTCCATCTTCAAAAAAGAGACCATTACATCACAGGATCGTTGGTCTGATCCCTGAGTAAGTAGCTAAAGCACTTGCGCTATGGAAATTGAAAACAACGACGCTACCATGGAACCCCCTGACCCGAGACAATATACAAAAGTTATTTTTCTACATAGACCTAGTCGGCGATCGAACTTGGGACCTCGGAGATCGTTTACCACGATGGTCGTCTCTATTATCTATCTAGAGTGTAGTGTGTATCTCTATCTCTAGTAAATTGCACTCAACGATCAAGTTGTAGCGAATATTCGGTTACTATTCGGCTTATCCGGCCTTTTTATTGGTATTCGACCGAATACCTGAAAATATGAACAAGAAATTAAAAAAAATAAATAAATATACATTGCAAGTTCGAGGTAGTGAAATATTTCGCTTATTCATCTTAAGATCATAGGAACATAACTGAGTAATTTTTTACGTAACAAATCAACTGATTTTCTTACCTGTGATTTTTCAATATGTGAAATATTGTGTTGTTTACATTTCAACAATAATGTTTTAGTTTTAGCTTACTAAAACCGTAATTGTGTTTTTGTGCTACTTGTGGCGATTATTGTAATTAGCACTGTCATCTGTTACTTAACATATACCTATCTGTTGATAAAAATTTGCTGTAAATCGTCCAATAAATAAATACCTAAATAAATTACGTCGTTTAGCCACTGAAAGAATGCTAACATAATCAACCAAATAAGTACTTATTATTTGCAAACCAAAGTTAAATGTGAAATAAACAATTTATTTTCTCTTTAAAATGTCATCAATTTAAATAACAAACAAGAAAATTCAAACAATTTTTTGTTTCATTGTAATACGTAGTATTTTCGTATCTGCGGTAATCAGACCGAATAGTTAGACCGAATTCGACCACTCTCCTGACCGAATATCCGGCATTCTATACTATATGCTGCACACATACACTATCAACACCATTTTTAAATGAAAGTATGTCCAATAACCTTCCACAACAGCTTACAGCCCCGTCAATACACGATCCACGTTGCCAATCAGCGCTTCTCTCGTCCACGGAAACCCTCGCAGTATCAGCACAGCGACTGGTATCGGAGACGGTCTCTCTTCAAGACGACGAAACCGGCTGCCGCATTCTCGAGGTCAAGCTGCATCAGCAAAGGGCGCATATCCAGATGCAAGAGCAGATGCTGCAGAAAGCATTGCAGGGGATCCGGGACACTTTCAGTGACGGAGTTGTTGTTCAACAAGGTATTCTGGAATGAAGGTCATTTCTGAGCGT